TTGTGATAACAATAGAGCCATTGCGAAAGCAAAGGAACTAAGGTCTCATCAATGATTCAAACATGTATTAAGGCAGTATAATCTCATCAAAGAGATAATACATAGAAATGACGTAAAGAGAAGAGCAAATTTCCACATTTAATAATATTGCAGATCCACTGACAAAGAGTTGTCGTAGTATAAACATGATCGTCATGTAGACTTATGATATTTGATACATAAGTGATTGGATCTAGTGCAAGTGGGAGTTTGTAAGTATTATGCCTTAGGTCCAATCAACTTTGGACATAAATACTTTTATATATAATTAATGTAATTAAATGGCAGATCTATTATTTAATTAATAGACAATTAAATAAATAATAGAGTCCGTAGATTCAAATAATTGTAATTTGTTAATCACAAGGAGTTGTGATTGTGAGATACAAATTACATCTGATTGAATCTTAAATCATCCGTGGTCGTAAGTAATAACGAGATACAGATATCGTTATTACGGATAGACCATCACGTGTGGCATTTCTTACTTGTGAAGTAAGTAACTGATCTCACAAGCTAAAGTGTGGTGATACTTAAATGAACATATGGATGTTTTTGTTATAGAACAAAACATTGGAGACCCGTCGAGAGATTCCACATGGATAACTATCTGAGTATCAGTGGTTAATCTCTAACGTTCGGTAGTGAAATTGGTCCTTTGACTTGAGGTCGTCATGGTACCTTATATGAGGACAGTCATACTTTGGCGGTGTTGGATGTTGCTCTGAAAAAGGGCCGCTAATAAAATTTGATTTTGTCGTACCACGTGACATTTCCCGTCACATGTATTGCCCTGACACATTGCTGATGTCAATCAGGGACGGCGAATGTGAATTGACGATAAATTAAAAGGGTGTTTTAATTTATCAATTTTGATTAGATCAAAATAATATTTCATGTCGTTAGGCATCGTGGTCGGGAACCTAATGGGTCACACACAAAAGAGAATTGGAAGATTGCAAATTGCCAATTGGTTAATTTAACAATCGTTGGATAAATTAATTAATTGGATTAATTAATTCACGGACCGGGTTTAATTAATTGAATTAATTAATTATTGGAGCGGACCGGGCTGAGCCTATTTGGGTTTATATAAATACATAACTAGGGTTTGAGGTCCAATAAGGTTTTCATTATTCTTGCTGGCACAAGAGAAAATCCTAGAGGCTGCAATCATATTCTCTGTGTGGATCACCGTTGGAGGCTGGACAATTGGACAGCTGTGGTGGTGAATCAAGGTTGATGGAACGAAAAGAAAAGCAAAAAGATTGCAGATCTGGAAAAGGTACAATCTTATCACAATTTCTATCTAAACACAAAGGCGATTCTTGGTGGGAATCGAAAATTATTTTAAATTCCGCTGTGCATGTATAAGTAGATTCCAAACAAACCGCCCTCTCGAAAGACATTTATCTAAACCCTTTAACAAAAACTTTCATACGCCTCTTTCGAGCTGTAAATCCTCCACCAAACACTAAGCTTCCACTCATAATCTACTTGCGTGGCAGCGATTTCGTGTTGTTTAGCGTGTCTACTATCGTTTTTCATAACTTCTGCAACGACGTTGCTGCTCAAATTCCGGTCATTGTTGCCTCCGTTGAGTACAGACATGTCCCGGAAAATCGGCTCCCCGCAGCTTATGAAGATGCTATGGATGCTCTCTTGTGAGCAAAATATCAAGCACTTGGTGGACATAGTACCACTGTTGATCCCTCGATACACGAACATGCTGATTTCTCATGAGTTTTCCTATTGGGAAGTGCTGCAGGTGGGTGCCTACCATGCAGCACTAAATGCATTAAATTTCGATCTTGAACCCATAAAAATTCAAGGGCTCATATTGAATCAGCCATACTTCGGTGGAGTCTAAAGAACCGAATCAGAACTCAGACTCATCGATGATAATTTCGTTCCATTATACGCAAATGATGTCCTGTGGACATTGGCATTGCCAGAAAACGCTAGCAGAGATCATGAGTTTGCGAATCCATTAACTGGGGGGTCTTATCTCGGTAGGGTTTTGAGATTGCCAAGGTGCATGGTGAAGGGCAACAGTGGCGACCCACTTGTTGACAGGGAAAAACAGTTGGTGAAACTGCTTGAATCAAATGGAGTTAGTGTCGTTTCAGTGTTTGTGGATGGAGGTTATCACCGCGTGGAGCTCTCAAATTCAACAGCAGCTCAAGAATTGTATGATGCTGTCAAGGATTTAATCAGTTCTACAGCTGCTACCACAATTCAAACTTGTGACGCCTTTGTGCCAACAAATATTTGTCCGCTTTAATGCTTTTGATCACTCCCATGTATTAATTTCGAAATTCATATGTACAGTAGCAAGTTTGTGTATGTTATTATTATTATTATTATTATCGCCACGTATGAATAAAACATTTAATTATTATTTTTGTGAATTTTTTTTTTAAATGTTTCGTCTCCATTTGGTTCCATTAAAAATTTAGCGCTTGTCTGGCAAAGCTTTGCCCCCAAAATTCTGAGCCTTTTTTGATTGTTAAAATGTCAAGTAGGACCCAATGTGAGAATCAAAGTCAACAAAGATGACTGGTTTTGATTTGCAATGATCCAAAAAGCAATTCTTGGAGAATATCATAGAAAACTTGAAGGTTTGAAACTTTAAATTCTTGCAATCAAAAGGGTCGAAAGTTCATGGTTCAGAATCAATTCAAGAGTTGATCATCGAACTTAGGTAAAAAAATTTGAATTCTTTATTTTTTATGTAACATACAGTTAAATATCTAAATAATCTTGTTTATTGAAAGTAGTTGGAATGTGGCAGTAGAATTATCCAGAAATTAAAATTTTCGTTAATTCAATAAGTATCCGTCTAAATGTTCACGTATATGTTATAAAAAAAATTAAATGATTTGAACATTTTACGTAAGTTCGACGATTAACCTTTGAATTGACTCTGAACCACGAACTTCTGGCCCTTTTAATTGTAAGAAGTTGGTGCTTCAAACTTTCAAGCCTTCTGTGGTATTCTTCAATGCAAAGATTGCACCGGTGTATGAACATCTTCTTTTAATTAATTCAAGAAAGTAATCCTTCAATTTGAGAATTGGAAAGCAAGAAAATAGAATATTCTCTCTCTCTCTCTCTTTAAATTTGAATTCTATGGAATTATGTATCATGAGTATTGTAATATTTTTCAGTCCATCTAGTCTTTATTTATAAAAAAAAGATAATACAATTTCAGTACAATAATAATTCCGTATTCAAACAAGAGTTGACAACACTTAAATTTAAATTTAAATTCAAGTCAAAATCAATAATTAATTTTAATTACATATTTTATAAGAGCCACAACTTTTTAACTACACATTTAATTAAATTTTGTTAAAATCTATTAAAATTCTATTTTTATCCAAACAAAACTGAGCTCATATGTTGCGAATTTGGAGAAATTAATGGAGACCTTATGCTTTTTTATTTTGGATAGGAAATCATAGTAATTTATTCATCAAGGAAATAAAGAACTTGCTGCTTAAAGAGAGCTTGAAAAGTTTTAAAGACGGACTATCTTATTTGGTTGAGTTAAAAGAGTTGATCAAATTATGTTGTTTAGTAGGGATTAAAATCAATTTTTTAATAAAAATCGATAAAATGTGTAATTAAAGTTATAGGTCCCATCAAATAATTAGTTAAAATTACTTGTTAACTTTAATTTTAATTTAATTTTTTATTTAATACTCACCAAACAGGGGCTAAAGTTTAAGTCAAAATAAATAATTAATTTAACAACACATTTATCGAATCCACATTTTTTTTTATCAACTTTTCAATTAAAAATTCCATCAAAATCTATTAGAAAAAATACTTTTGCCAGAACCAAACATGGGTGTACTAGAGATTTACGTAAGGGCAAAAACATTAATTTTTTTCATTGGTCTTCGCCTAACAAAATCACAAATAATTTTTTTCATTGGTCTTTGCCTAACAAAATCACAAACTAATGTAGAAAAAATAATTTACGGGACTTTTTGTAAAGTTGTTAGACTTTCATAGATTCTAGAAAATTTCAAAAGACCTTTCGTAAACTTTTATAAATTTTCAGCAAACACTATATAGATTCAAAGTAATGGACTAATTGAAGCCATACCAAACAACTTTACGAGAAAAAAACACTCATTCTCATCAAAATACCCCTTTTGCTACTGAAACTAGAACTTTTGTATGGAAATTACGGGTGGCAATTAAGTCGTATGGCAATTTTGGTTCTAAGTCGATGAACTTCAAACGTTGTTCTTTGACAAATCTCTTAATTTTTTCTACGTACATATGTCATTTTAAAAAATACCAATCTCTCAGTCTCAAATTGATAATATTAATTTGTATATTGTCTACACAACGCTCTAGTTCATGTGAAAGCAAGTATCTTGAAAGTTTAATGTGCTTGAAGGACTGGTTAGATGAAAAATTATGGGTTCAAGAGAGAAGTCCAAATGTTTTGATCAGCTTGGTGTTTAAGAAATAAATACGAACTCCTATATAATTACTTTCTTTCTGTCTTTTATCGAGATTTGAGTTTAAAAGTCTTTGGAAAAGGAATAATTCTATTTGTACCGAACTAAACTTACCGAAAGTTGCCCCCCTCTCACAACACACGCAGGCTCCACGTCAATATAAAAACTTCTAAATGTGGTCCTCACTCCTATTGTGAATAGTAGGCAAATGATTAGGTAAAAAAATTTTGTATATGTAGTATTGTCCTTGAAAAAAATGTTGAGGGAAAAAGTGTTAAAAGGGGTTAAGGTCGGGACGAAATGTATAATTTAGTTTTAAAATATGATACTAAAATAAAACTATAGGAAAAGATTGCTACAATTATTTTTGACTCAATTTAGTGCTATTTGTGTCAATTTCCCTTGATTATGCCCGAATCAGGAATCATATCGTCCCGGGTCGCTTCCCGCAATAAATCTTTCCGTATATAAAACGTCTGGCACTCGGTTTCCACTTTCTCCACTCAGCTCTACACACAGGTGTATCCTCGTTCATTCCAATTACATTTTCGGTTTTTAAAATTTTTGGATCAATATTCTTTCTTCGATCGGGGTAATATTTTCTCCTCTCACTCTGATTTTTCTGCTTTTTGGTTTGTTTCTGATTTTTTTTCCTCGCTTGACGCGTTAATTCATAATTTTTGAAACTCCAATTCGTAGTGTTTTAATTGGAATTTATTGATATTATTTTGCATTTCTGGCTTTTTTTGGTGTGATTAATTTGGTCATACGTTGGGCATTCCGCAATTGGGTTGTGTTTTTACCATTTCTTTCTCGTTAGCGGGACTGGAATTTTCTCTCTCTCTTTTTGAATTGAAGATAACCCTTCTATAATTCCGACTTCACATATGTATTCAAGCTTTAAACCCAATAGAAATATTCTATTCTTGCCAAAAAAAATGTATATCTAGTTTGTAAATGGATTCTTGGAACTAGAACCTATTATCATCGAGAAAGTTTTGAATGTCCATATTATGAACCAGATAATGAGTAATGGAAAGATGGAGATAACCTATATCCATGAATGATTACAATGGTGATGGTGTTTACTTGGCTACGTCGGTATGTTGTAATGAAGGGTAATTAGTAAATTAACATCAGTTTTGACGTCAGTAAGAGATTTGTAAATATTTGTCTTCTTTGTTTATTCGTCTTCAGTTGAGCAGGCCTTGTAGCTTTCTTTTCCTTGTAGTTTTTAGGCTTCGGTTGCTTTAGAGTTGTCATTCAGTAACTGTTCTCAGTTTTCTTTAATTTGTTGGCATTAGGAAGTTACGACTTGTTAAATTTTATTTGTGGAGAACTGAAGGGGAAAATGAAGCGCAAGCGCGAGTCTGGAAGATGCAAATCAAAGAAGCCCTCTATATCAGGCGCTGCTCAGTTATCTGTAAACCCCGGATATTACTCTGATAAGGATGAAAACAATGTCAGATTTGACGCTCGAGTGGACCTGGGAACGAGAACATCCAAAGCCGATATGAGTGGACAGCTTGATGGTTTGGAAAAAGAAGTGGCAAATGATGGAACAGTTGATAGTGCTTCAGCAAAGTTGGCTAGGGCTCTTTCTCCTTCATGTGCAAACCAAAGTAGGAATGAAGTCACACTGCAAGGTGATAAGAACTGCGAAAAACAACCAAAATCACCTTGTCAGGATCCTCGATACAATGAGCATGAGTTGAATTCTGCCTTGTTGGTAAGTAATGAGTTAAGTTATTATGATTATATTATTGTGATTTTAGTTACTCTTGAAGACACGCGTATTGCTTTTTATTGTATCTTATGATATTTGTTCTTTTATAGGTGATTAAGAAGATTATGAAAATGGATGCAGCTATACCGTTTAATCTACCTGTTGATCCTATTGCATTGGAGATTCCTGTAAGTTTCATTGCAAATTACCCACATTGCAAGTTTGAATATAATTTTGGTTAAAGTATTGAATCTTTACCTTTTCTTGATTGGTTGGTATCAGGATTATTTTGATGTCATCGATACACCCATGGATTTTGGTACGATATGTAGCAACCTAGAAAATGGTCTCAAGTATGTAAATTCGGAGGATGTCTTTATGGATGTGCAGTACATATGGGATAATTGTTGCAAGTACAATAAGAAAGGTTCTTATATTTTGGAGCTCATGAAACGGGTGAAGAATAACTTCATCAAGCACTGGATCGCAGCTAAGTTGTGCAAGGAACCATTGAATGTTGCTAATGGTGAGATTTCTTGAAATTATGCATTTGCTTGCTATTATTCCACCTGAAATAAAAAGGTAAGTACATTGTCCACGATTATCATTGAAAAATTATTGGTTTCTTTTCTCGAAATTATCTATTCGGTTTCTTTGCGCAGTTCTTTCTTTCTCACTCTTGGATGGCCAGAATACACTATAGAGCCTAATACCTTTGTTTTTAATCAACCACTGCTTGTGTTTGGTGATAGGACAGGAAAAATCTTTTAGATACAAGTCTCGATGGTCTCTAGTAATTGACTTTGGATCAGAGAAATAGTTTCAGACATGTCTAATTATCAGCTGAACCGCGTTCTTATTGAAATATTGCCTGAATACTTGTACACCCCACTCTCTCGAAGGATAGTCTATCTGGTCTAATTAATTTTTGTTTAGTTTCAGTAGGTATGTAAATGATATTGAAGTTCACTTTTGTTATTTTTCAAACACTGTCGTGTTCTTCCATTCTTCCTGGCTGTATAAAAACCTTGGACGACTTTCTGTCATCTTTGATTGTGGACCGAAGATTATATGCTTCGCTAGCTTTTGATACTTTTACTACTGATTAACATTTTTAGATTTTAAAACTGAATTTTCGACAGATATTATGACTTATTTTGGTTATGAATAAAATGTATACAAATTGTAAAAGGAGCACCTTCCTGTTGTGAGATGTAAACTGAGTGTAGTAGATAACAGACTGACTTTATAATTATTATTTTTTTTAGTAAAATGGTGCCATTAAAACAATCGTTTAACTGAACTATGATTTTCTCATGTTTGGTCGTTTCATGTAGGACATATGAACCAAATGTTAGAGTCTCCCATTGAGTCAACCATGAGGCATAACAACGCTGCACAGAAATATCAAGGGGATTTGACCATCAGCAACTCTTGCCATTTGCAATTGAACCAAAGGCAGCAGCAACAGTTATCACCTTGCTGTAGCCATGCATGTAAGCCACAACAAGTATCCTGCCAGTGCGAGTGCCTATTGCACTCTGGACAGTTGCAACCTTGTCAGCCCCAGAATGGCACACATGTGTCTACTTCAGGTCATAATTGCATGATCTTCATCACATGATTGTAGTTGATGTTTGCCATTTTCCCTTTATTCTCGTTAATCTGTTTGATTCATCGTAATTGCTATTCTAACTGCTACATATGCCAAGAATATGATTTTTTGGTCTTCCTCTATAAATGAATTTCTTTGTGTCCTTGAATCTTCTCCATAAACCCACACATAGTTCTGAGAGATTCAGCAACAATTGAATTAAGAACTCAAAATATTTAGAGAAGTTCTTGATGGGCCCTGTTGCTACCCATGCAAGATTTGTAGCAGAATTGGATTCTAATGTGGAATCGAAGTTTTGTTTTGATGGGTCTTGGATTCTGATGTTTATTGTATTTGTGTCTATGTTATAATTGTTTATTTTACTTTTGTTTAGTCATGTTTTTCCATTTGTGATGTGTGGTTTCATGTAAAATAGGTGGTTACAAACTTGCAATACCTGACATGACAATTAAAATAAAAGAATTATAGGTTCAACTATTTGTTTAAAATATTAAATTGTTGTCACGATCTTTATTAATTATTAATACCTAATCGATGCTCTATGTCATTGGGATTGAGATCACTTACTGTAATTTGATTGTTTATCGTACACTTGCTATACTATACCCTGTCAGCCACCTACAGTCACCAAGTAAAGGTACGTAACCCTTCCGAGCATTGCCCCATTTTGATGCATCTATGAGGAGTAAACGCACTGCAAGTTGTTCTTACGCCTATTCTGATGTTCAGCCCTTCTGGTCATTTTTAATTTAGTAGTGGTGGTATTATAATCTTGATATAACTATTTACTGGAAGTATTCATTATTTAAATTTCTCCCAGATTCAGTTTCTCGCCACAATGATTTTAGGCATTTATACTCGGTGGACCTTATGAATGGTAACTCTTTCAACCAATGTCCAAGTCTAGTTCACTCTTGTCAACCATCACCCAGCTGCAACTTTCTATGCCATCCCCATCTAAGGAACTGCCTCCCACAATCAAGCTCAGACCAGTTGGCACCTTCCCGAGTGCAAGCAGGCATAAATGTCCATAATGCAGGTGTGTTTGGATCTATTAGATGCACATACAATAAATTTGATTTAATCAGGAAGGATCATGATGTTGTTACGTTTTGAGTGAGTCTGTCTGGCAAACTCCAAATCCAGTTATTTATGGTCGATGTCATCCATGTTCTAAAAATTTTCAGGAATTGCAACTTCAAAATTACCTTAGTTAGTCATTGTTTCTCTTTCTGCTGGATGTATGCCCCCTTAAGTACTTGCAATAAAACATTAGGTTGTGGCCCTACATTGTTTAGTTTATTCTCCATTAATGGCAAAATAAATGGATTGGGGAAATGGCCACTAAGATTCATATGGAGTATGGTAAAAGTAAATCACAAACTGATTTTCGTGTCGTATTTTTGGGGGTATGAATTGAGCCTCGCATGATTTCATGTATTTTATTGAACAGATTGACCTGCTTTCAGTGTTGCTTTACAGGACTAGGAAGCCTTTATTTCTAAGATAATTACTTATATCTAAGGGCAGAATGATTTGGTGCATGACAACCACCCTCCACCAGAAAAGGACGTAGAAATGAAAAAAAAAAAAAAGAGAGGAAAGTTTCAATTGTGCAAATTTAAACATCTACCGCATCATCAGTTTGTTGACAGTTTTCCTATAACATCAAGTACATCCATATTAACAGACCAAGCTCATTACTGTTGGTTGCGTTTCATGCAAATGCAATCCTGTTTTCTGGCTTTGTAGCTGAATAGGCACGAGTTTTTTGCAGTTTCTGGAAACAAAAGCAGCAACTTTATCTAATTTTGACTATCAAACTATTGGTTATGTCTCTTAACTATTGGTTTTCTGTTAGTGGTTCCTCTGAGTCCGCAGACATCTGTAATTCTTGAAAGTCCATCACACTTTTATTGTAAAAATAAATAATAATGGAAATAAAGAGATAGGCCAATTGAACCTGCTCAAACTATTTCTTTTCATGAACCAAAAAGATTTTTGCCAAGAAGAACAAAAGGCCTTGGACTCGTAATGGATTGTAGGGGGGATATGAAATATCCATAACAGATGGGCGTCAAGTGGTTGATATTATCTTACCAAAACTTTAACTTCTTGTTGCACATAGCTACCCGTAGTCTATTTATGTATTTCCTTGATTCTTCTTTCTTCATAACTGGACCCAGTGTGGAACCACCTGTTTGATTTACTTCAGCAGGGGCAGGTTACCTATGTAGTTGATTTTTTGATCTTGTTCTCAACGAGCTTAGACAGAGAATTTCAGGTAGCGCATTTCTATTATCATTGTTTCTGTGCAACATATTCTTTTTATTATTGCTAAATGGTGCATCAATCTCTGTCCTTGTATCCAGTATAATTTACTATTGTCACTGAGTAAACATCATGTTTCTTTTGAAGGAAATTTTCAGTTACCCACCCATAGGGAATCTGCTTTCACATTCAATAAATGCGAGCATGCATGCAGTTCAGGCCCAGATACTGGCAAGGGGAAGCAACAAGAGCAGTGTCAGATGGACTCAGTTTATGGTCAGGCACATCACCTTCCAGGAAGCTGCATCCATGTACATCAGCTGCAAGAGTGCTCTTGTCACCAGTCTCAGAATTCTAAGGTGGAGGCAGGCAGAAATACTGACAATTCTGGTATGAAAAATTTCATTTGTTTCGAGTTTGTGTATAATTTATTTAATTTTATTCTTACAATGCAGGCATCAGGCTTCCTTTGCTCTGATTTTTGAGTCTGAAGAATGTTATTATTAGTTTAGCTGTTCAATTTTTATGGTGTGCAGATGATAGTCATGACATTGTCCATTCTTCATTTCTTTTATCTGGACACTTGAATAATTTTGAAGTTTCTCTTTTTCAAGGTATATGCTTTGCAGCAACTTTGTTGTTATCCTCACTGGCTGCACATGTTCTTAGAACTTACATTCATCCCCTGATTTACATTATTATTCACACTTTTAATTAAGTACATTATTGAATTGAGATGCTAGGGTGCATTTGATTGTAAGCATGAAATTTACATGAGACGAAAATAAATTCTAGGTATTGCATGAAAATTTTCAATTAAATGTGTTTGATTGATTTAATTTTCAACCTAAAAAATGTTATACTTGTCCATTTTTTATTGATGGGTAGATGAGAGAGAGAGAGGAGGTAAATGAGAGAGAAAGAGAGAGAATTACGTGGAAAACAAAAATTTACTCCCCTAAAGAAAATATTTTTTTTGTTTTCAAAGAAAATATGGTCATGTGACCGAAAGTAAGAAAATGTTTTCCATGTATAAAATATCAATCAAACAGTACAAAAGTGAGAATTTGGGTTAAAAAAAATGACATTTTCCATGGAAAATATTGACAATAAAATGCACATTTAAAGAATTTTCAAGTAGAGAACTGGTGAGCTTGTCCTCATTTATATGGATGAATGGTTGAGGAGTGAGGCTTTTTACATGGTCTAAGGTACTGGAGTTTTTGCCATCTGTCGTTACAACGTCTAATTCTTCAATTCGTTGAGGCAAGTTGTCAACGTGTTTGGATGTTGAAGTTCTAACTGTTCTTTATATCGAGTCATTAACAAATAGATATTATGTCTTAATTCCATTAAATTTGAAGAGGGTTGTTCTCACCATTCATCGAATCATCACATTAATTTTAGCTTACCGCTCTTCTTTTTTAAGTCTAGACAAGACATGTCCCAACCATCCAAGTCATCTTTCTTTATTGATCCTTATTTATGACACTTCCACTTGTCAGTTTATGTCTTCATTTCTTGCTTTATCCGTTCTGGTATAGTCACTCATCCATTTTGTCATGCTCGTTTGTACTATTAACATGTTTGGAAAAGCTTATAGCTTCTTAGAATTTAGGTTTGAAAAGCAACAAGAGTAAAACTTCTCAAAAAAGGTGCTTTAAAGTTTAAAGAACCTTTTAAGCCTAGCCGAACAAGCTACATATTCATCTTACAGATATTTGCTCTTTAGCAACAAACAGTAAATTCTATAAAGCGTAGGTGTTGTGTAACATTTGTAGAACTTTTTTTTATGAACTTGGTAGACTCCTCCCAGCCACATAAACCTTTCTCCAAGTATACTTAGTATAGCATGCAATTAACTTTGATTCTGTAGCTCTTTGTTAGGATTCTATGAGAATTTCTCATAGGTATACACCCTTGACAAATCATAGGTATTTACAGGAACGGTAATAAAAATGTTTCATTTTATAGTATGTTCAACTAAAGAAAGAAACTTCAATTGAAGTTATTAACTTGGCTCATATGTATAGCTTTGAATGTTAAAACTTTGTAATATCAAAACAGTGGACCATTTTGTGCCCCGTTGTTATATAAAAGATGTACCTAAAGTAATTGGTTTCTTCTAGTTCTTTTGCATACTTGCTATCGTTTAATGACTCTATTCACCATTTAAACCCACTGTTATGCAAATTGTCTAATGGTAGGATAGATACCTATTGTACAAATGCAACTGTGGTCTTATCTAAAAACTGACGTATGGAACTTTCCCAACTTTTCCATGTAACTAGTGAATTGCGTCTGTGGCAACTTGTATGATTCCAAAAGATTCAATATTACCTGTCTCTAATTCGATGTTCCAAATTGCAATTATTCATGGTTCTCTGTGAAGGAAATTTGCGCACGGCACCTCCAATGGAGTCTCCTCTTAACTGTAGTGGACCTGGTATCGAATGTCCAGTGACCCCAGTTGCTCATAACGCTAGCACCCAGCAGCTAGATAAGATGGACCCTACCCAGGAACAATCGTCCTCTATGATCAACGAGACAGAATGCAACCCCCAAGAGAACACCTGCCATAACCTGCCTGGGTCCAGCTCATCGCAACCTTCATCTCCTACTGAGACCGATAATAGGAACAGAGGTCTGCTACGTATTTTTTCCGGTTAAAGCATCTTACTTATTTTCCTCTCAACTAAGACCAATAATGCAAGCACAGGTCTGCTTACTTTATCTTTATGAATTATTTGGGTGAATGTTTTCCCTTCTTTTCATCATAGAGTATAGTAGCTCCAGGAGGAAGGCTCGGGTTCGAGGTCCCACTCGTTGCCTTCATCTGTTGAGCGACAAGCGCATATCAATCACTACCAATGTATTAGGGCAGCCCATTGGCCTTGAGGCGCCAAAATTGACCAGCTTCCTGGGTATCCTAGCACGGAATGGGAACTTTCTACCCCTAACGTATGTTGACTGGAGGGCAGTGCCCAATGAAAGTAAGGAAAGCTTGTGGCAGAAAGTTCAGGTATTTGTAAGCTGTTCTGCATTTCTTTTTCCTCCTGCTTCTGCATGATTTATCTGCATATTTATTTTCATTGGATTGTGTTTCGAATCGATGCAGTTGAGGTTTGATATTGACCCTGTGAGTAAAGATTGGGTCCTGCGTTCTCTTGGGAGAAAATGGAAGGACTGGAAAGCCAAGTTGAAGAGCGCACATTACTGCCCTCATGAAACTGATGAGGAGCGGCTAGCTGATCGTGATGAGAGGGTCCTTCCAGATCAGTGGGCATCTCTTATTGCGCACTGGAGTTCTGAAACAGAAGAGGTATTTTTTAGGATGACTGCTGATTATTGTATTTATGTATACAAGGGTTTCTTTACACGCCACAAAAAACAAAAGGAAAAGTCAGGAATTATGTTTTCAATTTATTTATTTATTTTCAAACTAGTTAAATTTTCTTTACATAGAGATTGGCCTGTATAATAATTATGAGGTCCACATGATAGAAACGCAGTGCCACAAATAAGGCTAATCGTGCACATCAAAAATATGGTCATGCAACAGGCACAAAGAGCTTTGCACGAATACGTGAAGAGCAGGTGACTTTCGTGCTTTCTGAACTTCAACTGCAGGGGGAATGTGTTTGTGGTTATTGATGTTGCTATTCTTTTATCAATATTATTCATATAAATGTACTGCACCTGAACTGATCATGGGCAGCGAGCAAAGAGATCTGATGGGAAGGAACCATCACGTGCAGAGCTATTCATATTGACTCGTACATGCAGAAATGGGAAGCCTGTTAATGAGGCATCAGCAGCAGTAATTGTATGTGTTGGAATGTGAATTGGCTTTCGTTAATTTACTAATAATTATAGGTTACTAGATATTGATGTTATGTAGATTACCGAACATTTTTACTTAAATGTGCAGACGCAACTCCAAGGCCTTGAAAAACAACAGGATACCTCACAGAGCAGCACTAACCGGGATGATATGTTTTCCCAAGTCCTGGGTAAAGATAAACATGGACGTGTTCGTTGTTATGGATTAGGCTCCTCCCCTTCTGATATTGGGGTGCAGAAGCCTTCTCGTGAAGAAGCCTTGAAAATGGTGTCTGAGGCTAATGTAGAAATACGTGAGCTGAAGGAGAAAATGGCAGCCATGGAGCAGACCTGTGCACAGATGGCAACTCAGATGACTGATATGATGTCAATGATGTCTTCCATGAGGAAATTACCTGATGAGAATGTGGCTGATAAGGTAGGTTCACATCTAGGTCTCCAGGACACCATCTCACAACTTTACTTTTTGCAAGTCATACTTCAGAAGTTGACACGAGTAATCCATTCTTTATGATAGGCTGCCAATACTTCTGGTGCTTCTGACAGTACATTTCTCCTACCATCTCCTGGTAGAGGTTCAACATGCCAGGTCAGCAGTCCCCATGTCGGAACTCACCTTAGTTGATTGATTTATACATTTTTTTTCTTAATTCTCAATTTGACTTGAGAGATGCAGAGTCGTGGGAGGAAAAGGAAAACTTAGATCGTGAACTATCTGGCTAGGTAAATGGTTACAGCATTTAAAATGCTCAGTTATGTATTGTCTGCTAACTTTTTTCCCCCTCTTTTCGACAAACAGCACAGCCCCTACCCCTGCCCCTCGAAAGGTAATGCACGCTAAACTCAACTACCATGTTCATTGAAGTTCTAATTTGGCTTAAAATAAAATTTAAAAAGAAAAAATAGAAAAAGTTATTCTAGATGCAGATTTTTTTGAATGTGTAGAAATGGATATCTAGAGTTTCCATACTGCACCTCCCCACCTCTTCCTCTCTGGTCGTTTCAATTTGCCTATTGCCTTGCTCTGTTCCACCTTTGAATTGAGCACCTATTAATCTTGCTCTTTCAGTAATCAGTTAAGGTGTATTAATTCTGCTATTCTTTTTTTAACAGGTAGCGTCAGAGTTAACGTAGGAAAGTGGATAGATTGTTGATGTGTTTTTATGGAATGCTAGTTTCATCTAATGACCCATAGATGTATACCTAACATATTCCATATTTTGGTTGTGGAAGTATTTATGTCCTATCCAAGATAAATGTTTTCTTGTAAATATTGTTTTAGCTTTACAGACAATCCTTTGATCAATTTCAAGTCTGTTACTACCATAACCTTGGAAACGACATTTCTGGTATGTGGTTTTACTTTTAACTGAAGTTTGCCCAAGTTGCTTCAAATGCCTCATTTCAAATTTGTCAGCTTAACTCGGAACAGCAAAACCCAGATGCCATAATTGGCATGAATAGCAAAGATGGCTGCTCTATTATACAAATAAAATTCAAATCATCTTATGAGCAAAAATCGCATTTTTTTTTTCCAAATGTAGGCAGCCTGTTTTTGATGAAAAAATCAACTGAGTTCCTCGACACAAGTTCAATAGACACGGTGACATAATTTCGTGTGCACCCTGAAGCATGGGCGGACCCAAGGGGGGTCTTGGGGGATCACTTGACCCCCCCCCCCCCCCCCCCCCCACTTCGCCCCCCCCCCCCTTTTTTTTGTATATCGTAGCTAGTTGATTCCGTTATGAGTTCAAAACGCAATAATATGGTAAGGTATTAAAAAGGTAATTTCGTGGTTAGGGGTTTACAGAAACAACCTTGCATGACTCTACGAAGTTCGTGGAACGTTCGCTCCTAGCCTCCTTCGATGGAAACAGAGAAAAATTGACAGCTTTGAACGGAATCTCACAATAAGATTTGAACTTGCCTTTTAAGATAGCCAATATTGAATGCAGTATTTAAAGATTCTGCTAGTAAAGAATCGATTACATAAGGTAAATTGATTATATACAACTTTTTTGCAAATTAAAAGCAGCTTCTATATATATATATGTGTGTGTGTATATATAAAGCCGGGTCTGAACGAAGAGCAAGGTAATTAAAGAATCAATTCATTCTTTCTGAATCTGAACTAGTGTTTTAAAGAATCCATTAAAGGTTTTGCTTCTTTTCTTTTAGAAACCTTGAAGAATTCTGCTTTTATTAACTGCTTTGATTCTTGTATGAATTGCGTCAATGATTTATTGTTTTCTAACGTTTTCGGTGAAAATAAGCAACTTTAATCAATAGAACAGAACTTCATTATTTAAATTTGTATAAAAACCATAGATGGGAATTGAATGTATGATATTTTAACCGATTAGTTCGGCTCGATTTTGAATTTTTAATATTTCTTTTGATTATTTATTTTCATTTGTAAGCTTAGTCACTTTGTGTACCCATCGGACGGCAGCCCTTTCGAGTTTCTTAGGGAACGATTCACCCTGCGTAGATTGATTGAATGCAGAAAACCTTCCACTGACACGCGGTCGTATTTATCATAGCATTTACTAACCGTAAATTGTGTCTTGTGACAGGATGGGACGCGCAAAATTGAACATGGAACTGATAAGCAAGGAGAAATCAAGAAACATAACATTCAAGAAAAGAAAGGAGGGTTTGATGAGAAAAATGCATGAATTCACCACATTGTGTGATGTTAACGCATGCGTGATAATCTATCCCCCTAAACAAGACAAGAACACAGAAGAGCCAGAAGTGTGGCCTCAAAATCTCGAAGAAATACGACGAATAATCGACATATACAAGAACAAGAACAAAGATTCTGGGAACAAAACGTACGGCCTGTCGGATTTTTTTATCGAGCGGAAGCGAAAAATCAAAGACGAGCTTGAGAAATTGCGGAAAAAGAACATGGAAGCTAAGTACCCTACTAGAATTAATATGATGGATGTACTGTCAGAAACTCAGTTGAGGGAATTTTATGCCTTGTTGAGCAATAAGGCTGAATACGTCAAGTCGAGGATCGAAATGTTGAAACGAAACGACAATGGATTCAATATGAATACGATGGATTTGGGTCATGGAAGATTGATCCAAAGAGGCATAGAATTAGAGGTGATAAATCAGCAGCAGGCAATTTCCTCTATGAAACCAGTTGAAATGCATGTACCTATTCATTATCCTAGTATTGATCATCACCAAGAAATGCATTCTATGATGCTTTTGATGAATGACAATGATCGTGTCCAATTTGGTGGTGCATCAAGTGGTAGTAATATCCAGTGTGCATCATTTCAGAGACAGGTGTTTTATGAGTCCACGGCCGCTGCCGGTCATGGGGTTGTGGACAATGTGATGTGCCATAACCCGGTAGCATTAGCACGATACTACGCCGTGGCTCCACCAGTCCTGCCGCCTGTGCCACCAACGTACTTGCAGCATGCCGTTGCGCCACCACTGAATTCTTTGAAGGAGAGTGATGAGCAAGATGATGTTTTTCAGTATCAAATCAAGAACGAAATGGTAAGGTACTATGAGTGAGCAAGTAGTCAAGTGATTTGTGAGATGATTCTTTGAAATTCTTCTATTCTTTAAGTTTTTCTTGTTGGATTATAATTAGTTTGTCGAGCTTTCCTAATGAAGTAGCAAATTTCAATAAATGTAAGACACTTCTTACTCACATGAATTTGAACATTCCTTGCACAAGCATGTCACGTTCCTCATGAATGCGTAACCTTACATTAAATGTTCGTTCTTTGCACGTGAACTTTACATTCGTTGAAAGGGCATGACAAGAATCCAAATAGAAAGAAAAATGTGACATGAACTGTCAAAAACTTTCCTATTTGCATACTGATTTTTGACATTTTGATTGACACTGCATTGTTATCAAGTGTTAGTTGGATGAAAAAATTATTTGAAATTTAAACTGTCTAATAGATTAAGGGCACTCGTCAAAGTGTAAATTAAAGTGTACGTCATAGTACATGAAATAATGTTCATTTGTTTAACTAAAAACCAAACCTAGAACCAAGAAGCATGAAGAAATTCGAAGCAATTTTATAAATTAACTTCATGGGGAAGTCAGAAAATAAAAAAATCAACACCGAACTCTACATTGTATAAAGTTCTGCGCCTAATGTGCACAAATTTGAAAACAAACAGCAAAAGGAGTGAAAATAGGGGGGATATACATGAAAATGGCCTAAATGGTATATAACCTTTTCCAAAATGGCCTTTGACTTTTTTAGAAATTTGAGACTACCCAAAATATCCTTGGAAAAATTTAACAACCAACCCTTTATATAATAAAAAGTTTCTTTTTTAGTCCTTAAATTTAATAAAGAAAACCCAAAATGACTTTTTGGCATTTTCAGTGTTTTCAGTTGAAAATAGCCAAAACATGGAAAACACTCAAAACGCGACATTTCCTCTTCGCTGTTCATCTCCACCGTTCCTCTCTGGGCTCTCTCCTTCTACTCACTTTTCCGACCACCAAACCACCACCTTTCGGCTGCCAAACCACCGGATGCAACCACCATCAGCCTCGCTTCCTTCCCCTCTATAATCTCCAACCAACCACCAGCCACAAATCAACACGAAGCAACAGAAAATCCAGCCCAAAAAATGAATGTCGCAACCCCTTTTCCGCTGGAATATCCATCTCCAATGACGCCCAAGGTCGCGCACCACCAACACTTGATAGCCCTCATCCAGGCGATCAATATCATGTTCTAACATCAACCAATAATGCACCAATTCGTTCTAATGTGAATCAATCAAACATGGCAGTCGCGAACCAAACATGCATGCTTCAATTCGTGTTTCTAGTGATTGGCATCAGTCGATTGGCGACAGTCGAGTATTGAGTATGTCCCTACAGTCATGGGTAACACTTTAATTTCATCAATTCATGCAGAAATCGTCGTCGGAATGGGAGTTTTTGGCTGTTCTAATAGCTCGCGACTGGCCTCTTTTGAGCAGAAATTCTAGCATGTTCGGCCGGAGTTAGGGCCAGCTATTGGGTCGGGTGTGTAGATGACATTGTGGGCTTCAAGTTGGTGCTATGTTCCGGTAGCCATGGTGGCCGGAAAGTGGTGTTTTGGAGGTGGGGGTATTGAGAGTGAAAGAGAGAACCGGAATGGGAGTTTTCAAATTTTTTTGAACCAAACACGTTTTCTAATTTTTCATTTTGAGAAATTGTTTTTTAGAATGACAAACCAAACGTGTTTTTCATAATCTCAAAATGAGGCCTCAAAACAGAAAATGGAAAATGATTTCAAAACTGAAAATATAAAATAGAGACGCAAAGAGAACGCCAAGCTTTTAAGGAAAACTTTAATGCAATTTTGCAATAATTGCTTACAAGAGTTATTTTCCTAACTTCTGTTAGGTCACAAAATCTCATAATATTCCTGAAAAAAAAAAAAAAGAAAATAATTCCAAAATCTAAAACAAAAGGAAAGCTTGCAACAAGTGTTAAAACATCACTGGATAAACATATATATATTAAAGAAAAATTATTTCANGCATGTGTTGTGTATAAATTTATGTATTCTGTGCATTTTTTCTGGTTCCAATTGCAATTCCCACAGTTGGAGACATGTGCCTGTAGCATAAAAGTGGATGTAAAGGGTTCAAAGATTATGATAATTAATACATCATCACAATGTTTTTTTAAAGTATAATATATATAAAATTATGTTTTATGTATAGATTGCATGGAAGAAACAAATTGCAGGGCATACTTTTTATTTATATATTTTTTTTCTGCTTTATTCCTCTTTCACCTTCCTATATATGTAATGTGGATTTGTGCTTTATTAGAAGATGGAATAGTCTTAAAGAGAGCTGAAAAAGTAAAAGTAGAGGTAATAAATCTTTGCTTTTGATCTTCCACTTGTACAGAAAGTAAAGATAAATATATGAAACACCTCACCCCCACCCCCACGTCCCTCAGAAAAAAAACCAAAGACTCAAAAAAGAGAGAAATTCATGACTCATATGTGCATGGAAAAGTGTGCTCTTGTATTCTGAGTAAGAAGTTCCATTAAGCTTTGAAAACTCGTGGCAGAAGGCAGACTATATTATATGAGGTGAACTTTGTGTCTGTATCTTGCCTATACTAATCTTACCTTATATGTTAACCCTCATATTGAATTAAGCACGCTTAACTAGATTATAGCAAGTTTTGTTGGATAAAAAGAACACGCATGGCAATTCAAAGTCTTCTATGTCGACCGGTCGACCGACTTTGAGACCACTACATGTAATTATTTGAGTCGTTACTTATTAACAATCTTTTTATTTTTTATTTGATTTCACTCCTCTAGATGATTAAGTCCCTGTTTGGTTTGGTTAAAAATTCATTAAATTTTCAATACATTTTGATAAAAATTGATGAAATAAGTAATTCAAAAATTAATAAAAATTGCGAATTTCATAAAAAGAACGATTGAAAATAGATATTAGTAAAAAAAATACGATTTTTAAAAATTGATGCCCGTGGGGGCTGAATTACATCAATTGATGTTGATTGCATTAAGTCAGTGTGTCGTGGAACCTGGTCAGGATTAGATGTCTCTTGTGGTGTCATCACATCCTTGTTTCATTTGTATTTTTTTCCCACAAGTGCTCAAGTCCATCAGCCACTTCTAAAAGCCATGAAACAAGAAAAGTTGGTTGTTTTTTTTGCTGGATTGTCATCTAATAGAAGTATAGTATATCATTTTTCGTTGTGTATTAGATAAGTAAGAATCATTGTATAAAATTACAGTGTCAATTATTTTGTAGCTAGTTGCCTTAATTAGAAAAATATTATATGCAAGATTTTGTTATGTTTGTCTTGTCAATTGAATTGTACAATCCTTCAGTAGTTAAGTAGGGGTGAACATAGTATTATTGGGTTCTTGTTTCAAGATAATTGAATCCAAACATGAACTAACGAGTATCAAATGGAGCTAATGATTTTTATGATATGTGACAAAACGAGAACCGAACCATTCATTTTTGGTTTGGTTTGGTTTTGATTCCATTACTTAAATTTTTAACTGATAAATGCAAATTAAAATCTATTACCATATCCATAAGTTAGTAGTATATATTTAAATAAAAAAATAAACATCAAATATTCAACAAGTACAAGTTATCAATCATCATATGAAACGCAACATTTCCTCTTCGCTGTTCATCTCCATCGTTCCTCTCTGGGCTCTCTCCTTCTACTCACTTTTCCGACCACCAAACCACCACCTTTCGGCTGCCAAACCACCGGATGCAACCACCATCAGCCTCGCTTCCTTCCCCTCTATAATCTCCAACCAACCACCAGCCACAAATCAACACGAAGCAACAGAAAATCCAGCCCAAAAAATGAATGTCGCAACCCCTTTTCCGCTGGAATATCCATCTCCAATGACGCCCAAGGTCGCGCACCACCAACACTTGATAGCCCTCATCCAGGCGATCAATATCATGTTCTAACATCAACCAATAATGCACCAATTCGTTCTAATGTGAATCAATCAAACATGGCAGTCGCGAACCAAACATGCATGCTTCAATTCGTGTTTCTAGTGATTGGCATCAGTCGATTGGCGACAGTCGAGTATTGAGTATGTCCCTACAGTCATGGGTAACACTTTAATTTCATCAATTCATGCAGAAATCGTCGTCGGAATGGGAGTTTTTGGCTGTTCTAATAGCTCGCGACTGGCCTCTTTTGAGCAGAAATTCTAGCATGTTCGGCCGGAGTTAGGGCCAGCTATTGGGTCGGGTGTGTAGATGACATTGTGGGCTTCAAGTTGGTGCTATGTTCCGGTAGCCATGGTGGCCGGAAAGTGGTGTTTTGGAGGTGGGGGTATTGAGAGTGAAAGAGAGAACCGGAATGGGAGTTTTCAAATTTTTTTGAACCAAACACGTTTTCTAATTTTTCATTTTGAGAAATTGTTTTTTAGAATGACAAACCAAACGTGTTTTTCATAATCTCAAAATGAGGCCTCAAAACAGAAAATGGAAAATGATTTCAAAACTGAAAATATAAAATAGAGACGCAAAGAGAACGCCAAGCTTTTAAGGAAAACTTTAATGCAATTTTGCAATAATTGCTTACAAGAGTTATTTTCCTAACTTCTGTTAGGTCACAAAATCTCATAATATTCCTGAAAAAAAAAAAAAAGAAAATAATTCCAAAATCTAAAACAAAAGGAAAGCTTGCAACAAGTGTTAAAACATCACTGGATAAACATATATATATTAAAGAAAAATTATTTCAAACCAAGAAATAACTTTTACGGCACATATTCTCATTTAATTTCTCAGGGTTTCTTCTTCGATTGCTGATAGACGATGGAAGACGAGGATTGAAATTCTGGCGAACGGGGAAATTCTGAAAGTATTTGAACCACCTCTCTCATTGCTGGCCTTTCAACACTATTTTCTTGAATACAAAGCATTGCAATGAAAAATAAATGCATGGCTTCTTCACGAGGCACTGCGGTTAACCTTGAATCGATGATATCGGTAACTTGTTCTCTTCGACAATTTGTTGCTTGTTTGATCCAACTTACGATATCCACGCCTTCTCCAAATTCGCCCACAGGACGTCTCCCCGTTATGAGCTCTAGAAGGACTATTCCAAAGCTATAAACGTCGCTCTTTTCATCAACTTTCAACGTGTATGCATATTCTAAATTAAAAAAAAAAAAAATCTTATTTTAAACCTTTACTTTAGTTAAAAAAAATAAAATCAATTTATTTAAATATGTTACAAAACAAAATGTAAAATGATTTGCATGTCTGTTGGCTTTCACGACACTCGACGCTGTTATGTTAGCTATCAAGTGCTGCCCTTGACTCTTTTAATAAGATAAAATACTTTCAAAAAATTATTTAATCATGTTCAAAAACAACTTCTTAATCTCAAAAGCACTTTCTGATTTTTCAAAAGTCCTACCAAACTAGTCCTAACTCTTCTAAAATAGGCTATTTTTCAACTACTTATTTTTTTAATGAAAATAAGCTTGAAATAATAATCTTTTGGAGATGCGTGGTTAAAAAGTAAGTGAAATTTTGGATTTATTGAAAGAAGAGATGATCGAAAATGAGTTTTTAGAAAATGGGGTGGGGTATCAGTATATCTAACACAAAATTTAAATGTGAAAAATTGTCCGAACAAGGCATAATTCTGCTTAAAAATTTGGACAAGTTGGTTGGTTTTTTATGAACAAGAGTTGATTTATAATTCTCTAATGCTACATTTGATATTTATAGCAGCCTTAAATTTTCTTACAACCGCGTCAAGTCAAATCTAGTTGTTGAAATGAAATATAACTGATGGTACGGCCATGGATTTCTTCGTTGACTGTTAAAATTGTTGTCAAACTCAAGAAAAGAAATAACTGCAGCCAGACAGGATGATAAAATAGCTGAAAACAATGTTAACACAGATTAAGGTACAATGTACATACCTGGTGCAATGTAGCCATAAGACCCTGCAATTGCTGACATGCACTGGGAGGCTCCCTCGTCCACCAGGAACTTCGCAAGCCCAAAATCTGCAACATGAGCTTCAAAACTGGAATCCAACAAAATATTATTGGATTTGACATCTCTGTGCAGGATCAATGGGGAGCAATCATGATGTAAATAGCACAATCCCTTTGCAGCATCCAATGCAATCTTGTACCTAATATTCCAGCTTAAGAATCCACCTTTTTTCCCATGCAATGCCTCTCCTAAGCTTCCATTTCTCATGTATTCGTACACAAGAAGGTTTGTGTCCTTGCTGGAACAGAATGCGAGGAGTCTTACAATGTTTCTGTGTCGAATGTTTCCTAGTGTTCGAATTTCAGCTCGAAATCCATGATCATGACTCTTAATGCCGTTAAATCCTAAGAGTTTTTTGACTGCGACTTCGACTCCGTTGGGCATTTTGCCGTGGAAGACGATTCCACCACCGCCTCGACCGATCATGTTGCCATCTTTTACGCATTCAAGGACATCGGAAACTGTGAAGTCGAGCTTTTGGAATGCGCTCATTTTCCAAGATTCAGAGGCATTTTTCTTGAATGACTTAGCCTTGATTATAGCTGCAGCTGTGAAGACTACAGAACACATTAGAAGCCCAAGGGAGAATATTAGCTTGAATGCACCGTGGGACTTTCCCGGTTTACTAGTGAGTGCTGTGACATTGCAAGGATTGTGTAATAAGGATCCACAGAGTCGAGGATTGCCCGCGAAGGAAGATGCATTGAAGACTGAAAATTCGCCCGATTCAGGTAGCTTACCGGAGAGATCATTGAACGAAAAATCAGCTGTTGTTAGACTCTTCATTGAACCGACTGAATTCGGAATGGTATCATTCAAGTGGTTTCTCGATAGGTTCAAATAATTCAGGATTCGAATATCGCATATTTCTGGTGGAATTGAGCCGGATAGACTGTTCTGGCTCAAGTCCAAATAAATCAGATGAACACAATTACCAATTTCAGGTGGGATTCTGCCAGCAAGAAAATTTCTGCTAAGATCAAGCTTTAGAGCTTGGTGAAGTTCACCGATAGAAGGCGGGATTGGACCAGAGAAATTGTTTCCACTAAGCAAAAGGATTTGAAGGGAAGACAGATTTGAAAGAGAAAATGGCAAAAATCCTGAAAGTTGATTGTTGGACAGATTCATTTGACCTAGTTTAGTTGGTTTCGACGAAGAATTAGCACGTTCAGACAAGGTCCCCGACAACATATTGTTCTGCAATTCAATAAAGTTTAGCTCCGGCAAGTAAATGAACCCATTTGGAATGCTACCGTTCAAGTAGTTTTGCCCCAGCCTCACCCTAACAAGACTTGAACATGTGCCCAAGTCCTCTGGTATTGAACCAAAAAGAAAATTTTGATACAGAATTAGTGCTCTAAGCTGTTTTGAGGCACAAACGCCTTTAGGAATGGTACCAGTGAGCTTGTTCGAAGACAAATCCAAGTCCTGCAGATTCTGATTTAGGCCAAGATTTGCCGGGATAGTGCCTGTGAAATTGTTCGTCCAGAGCTCAAGAACTTCCAATTGAGGATATTCAGCAACAAAATCTGGTATCGACCCATGTAATTTGTTCAAGAACAGATTTAAAAGCCTGAGTCGTTTGAGATTGATCATCTCATATGGGATTTCACCAGTGAGTGCATTAAGAGAAAGATCAAGATTTACCAGGCATGTTAAGTTGCCTAATTCCTTGGGGATTAAACCGGATAGTCTATTCCAATGCAGAAAAATTGTGTCCAGTGACTTCAAATTCCCCAATTCAGGAGGGATTGAACCATCCAATTCACATCTTGAAAGATCCATATGAACAAGATTCACCAGCTTGCCAAATTCCCTTGGAATTCCACCCTTAAAAACATTGTAATAGCCCAAGTAAATCTCCCTTAAGTTAGTTAGATTGCCCAATTCTGGAGGAATTTTTCCCTGAAGATCATTTCCAGCCAGGTACAAGTATTCTAATCCAATCATATTCCCATAATTCACCGGGATTTCTCCAAAGAAGTAATTTCCTCCCAAGTCCAGGTGCTTGAGATTCTTCAAATCCAGTATTCCCACAGGAAGCAAAGCAGAAAAGTTGTTGTTATATGCATCAAACACCTCCAAATTGGCCAGACTAGAGTAATTCCAATCCAGGTTTCCACTAAACTGGTTGTTCGAAATGTTAAGAAACTGAAGATTTCCCATATTTTCAATATTAATTTCACCAGTGAAATTGTTCCCATCAATGAAAAGCTCCATTAGGCTTTCAAGCCTGGAAATTTCAGGCGAAACAGAGCCATAAAGAGCCAAGTTCGATACATTAAGCGAGATTACTCGTCCTTGGAAGCATTTGATTCCAGCCCATGAACAGATTGAGGTTGGATTAGAAGAATTCCAAGAACTTATGGCCGGATTAGACTCGAATCGAAACCCTTGTTTGAGCGAAATCAGAGCATGAAAATCAGAAATGAGAGAGGAAGAAAAACAAGTACCCACAAGTGAGAAGAGTGTTAATATTAAAACAAAGAAGGGCGCCATATTTTACTGGAAAATTTTCATGGAAAGTGAGTTTGGAAGGAGTGGAAGAACAAACAAGGGATTTTAAGAGACTGGTTGATTTTGAATTTCCCGGAAAAGGAATGAAAAGTTGAAGGAATCTGAAAAACTTCAATTGTGTACTGGTTTAAAGAATCAGTCATCTTGTGATAAAAGAGTCTTCAAGTTCAAGAAAGATGATAATCCCTCCTTTTCTCGCCCTCTGCTTTCCCTTTTTGCTTCAGCCCTGAAGGCATCAAAGATCATCAAATTTGGTGCAAATCTTGTTTTAAACGGGAGTGCTTCTCTCGCCAACAGCCAAGTGCATGGTCTATATTCTCGAAAAGTGCACTAATGATGTATCATTTGCACATATTGTCTAGCATCCTATCCACAAGCGTGCCTCTGTGCCGCCAGTTATTTCGAGTAGCCAACATAAGAATGAGGAGATGACTGCCTCGAAGAGCTGAACATTGGGGCCAAACTTGCGGTTTGTGATAGTTGAGATCACTCGTAAAGTTTAAATTGATAAAAAGGGACAACTTTATTTATTTAAATTATGATCTTGACCTGACCATAAACATTACAAAGCAAAGAGAGGAAAAGAGAAGGGGGGGATAAAGAAGGTTTATAGTTAATTGAAAAACAGCCGTTGGATAACAGAAATTTGAAGTTCAGATTAGGTGGACAAAAGTAAAGTTGTTCATGTCCTCTCTTTTCTCATATGACAGAAATACCCTTTAGCTTTAATCATAGAGTGGCCTTTACTTTAGTGTGAGATGATGAAATTAAATGATACAATGGATTCTGAATTTTGGCTAAGTAAATTAAAGAGACAAAGTTGGTAGTAATCAATATATGCCACTATTTACAAAGATATCTTGTCTCATTGACCCAAAAATAATTAACAATAATGACTATAAGAAACAATTTTGTATGAACTTACGTGGTCATTCGTTGGTGCAAAGATTCTAACTGTAATGAATCTTTGGACGTTTTACGAAATGACGAAAAGGGTCCGTCTCATCGACCCAAGAGTAATACATGTTTACTTATCTTTTTTCTTTTTTCATCAATTCCTAGGAACCAAAGTAGTGCTTATTTGAAAATTGTTGGGGACCAGTTTGCAGCCAACGAAAATTTTCTGCCCATTATGCATGATAGTAGTTTCGAGGTAACCTTTTCGAAAATTAAAAGTTACATAGTCAGTGGAGTCTATAGATAAGAACAAAAATTTGTGCAGCATACTTTTCTATTTGCAGTTCATTCATAACCACAATATTAAATTCAAGAAAAAGATTTTGGGAAATGGATACTTTTGCATCTACTAAAAATTTTGGGTTTTGATGAGGAGAAGGGGTAGACAAAAAGAACTGGAGCCATAGAACCAAATCAGAATCAACTCTAAATTGAGCCAAATCAATTGGAATGGTTCTAATGATTCTCGTTTCTAAGTAAATATGTTATCAACTGGTTCTGATTCTTAGAACTTAGAATCAATCAGTTTTGATTCTTGATCTAGAATCGAGAACGGGAATCACTAGAACCATTTCTATTTATTTATTTTTTAAGGGTTTTTTAAAATTCTTGATGACCCGATCAAGTAATTATTCCTTGTCATTTTTTTTAATTAACTTTTTCTTTTTCAAAAATTTGGTTCTAGAACCGGACCAAACCTTCGGTTCCAATATTACAAAAGGAACCGAATGATTTCGGTTCGATTCTTTAATCAAAGAATCATTGATTTTCAATTCGGTTGTGTTTTGGTTCTTGTGGAACCGGAATCGAACTGAACCACCCCCGTGCTCTAGTAGAAGTGCACCATAAATCCTGTTTATGATCCCTCAATCTTGGTACATTTTGCATGGCACGTGTGCAGCTAGCAGTTAAAAAATGTAGTACTTTGTTGCATGTGTTGTGTATAAATTTATGTATTCTGTGCATTTTTTCTGGTTCCAATTGCAATTCCCACAGTTGGAGACATGTGCCTGCAGCATAAAAGTGGATGTAAAGAGTTCAAAGATTATGATAATTAACACATCATCACAATTTTTTTTTAAAGTATGATATATATAAAATTATGTTTTATGTATAGATTGCATGGAAGAAACAAATTGCAGGGCATACTTTTTATTTATATTTTTTTTTCTGCTTTATTCCTCTTTCCCCTTCATATATGTAATGTGGATTTGAGCTTTATTAGAAGATGGAATAGTCTTAAAGAGAGCTGAAAAAGTAAAAGTAGAGGTCAGAAATCTTTGCTTTTGATCTTCCACTTGTACAGAAAGTAAAGATAAATATATGAAACACCTCACCCCCACCCCCACGTCCCTCAGAAAAAAAACCAAAGACTCAAAAAAGAGAGAAATTCATGACTCATATGTGCATGGAAAAGTGTGCTCTTTTATTCTGAGTAAGAAGTTCCATTAAGCTTTGGAAACTCTCGTGGCAAAAGGCAGACTATATTATATGAGGTGAACTTTTGAGGTGTCTTGTGTCTTGTCCAGTTGGTGTAGGGGCTTCAATTCTTGAAGGGTTATTTTCATCTTGCATATACTAATCTTACCTTATATCTTAACCCTCATATTGAATTAAGCATGCTTAACTAGATTAGAGCAAGTTTTGTTGGATAAAAAGAACACGCATGGCAATTCAAAGTCTTCTACGTCGACCGCTCGACCGACTTTGAGACCACTACATGTAATTATTTGAGTCGTTACTTATTAACAATCGTTTTTTTTTTATTTGATTTCACTCCTCTAGATGATTAAGTCCCTGTTTGGTTTGGTTAAAAATTCATCAAATTTTCAGTAGATTTTGATAAAAATTGATAAAATACGTAATTCAAAAGTTAATAAAAATTGCTAATCCCATAAAAAGAACGACTGAAAATAGATATTAGTAAAAAAAGTACGATTTTTAAAAATTGATGCCCGTGGGGGCTGAATTACATCAATTGATGTTGATTGCATTAAGTCAGTGTGTCGTGGAACCTGGTCAGGATTAGATGTCTCTTGTGGTGTCATCACATCCTTGTTTCATTTGTATTTTTTTCCCACAAGTGCTCAAGTCCATCAGCCACTTCTAAAAGCCATGAAACAAGAAAAGTTGGTTGTTTTTTTTGCTGGATTGTCATCTAATAGAAGTATAGTATATCATTTTTCGTTGTGTATTAGATAAGTAAGAATCATTGTATAAAATTACAGTGTCAATTATTTTGTAGCTAGTTGCCTTAATTAGAAAAATATTATATGCAAGATTTTGTTATGTTTGTCTTGTCAATTGAATTGTACAATCCTTCAGTAGTTAAGTAGGGGTGAACATAGTATTATTGGGTTCTTGTTTCAAGATAATTGAATCCAAACATGAACTAACGAGTATCAAATGGAGCTAATGATTTTTATGATATGTGACAAAACGAGAACCGAACCATTCATTTTTGGTTTGGTTTGGTTTTGATTCCATTACTTAAATTTTTAACTGATAAATGCAAATTAAAATCTTCATTTGTATTTTTTTCCCACAAGTGCTCAAGTCCATCAGCCACTTCTAAAAGCCATGAAACAAGAAAAGTTGGTTGTTTTTTTGCTGGATTGTCATCTAATAGAAGTATAGTACATCATTTTTCGTTGTGTATTAGATAAGTAAGAATCATTGTATAAAATTACAGTGTCAATTATTTTGTAGCTAGTTGCCTTAATTAGAAAAATATTATATGCAAGATTTTGTTATGTTTGTCTTGTCAATTGAATTGTACAATCCTTCAGTAGTTAAGTAGGGGTGAACATAGTATTATTGGGTTCTTGTTTCAAGATAATTGAATCCAAACATGAACTAACGAGTATCAAATGGAGCTAATGATTTTTATGATATGTGACAAAACGAGAACCGAACCATTCATTTTTGGTTTGGTTTGGTTTTGATTCCATTACTTAAATTTTTAACTGATAAATGCAAATTAAAATCTATTACCATATCCATAAGTTAGTAGTATATATTTAAATAAAAAAATAAACATCAAATATTCAACAAGTACAAGTTATCAATCATCATATGAAATGTCGTGTAATAAATTTACTAACAAAAGTCCAAACTAATAGTTGATTTTTTTTTTAATTTAATTTTATTATTATTATTTTTTATTTGATTCATTGATTTGTAATAAAATATATAAAATAAAAATTGAGTTCGGTTTTCTATTTTCGAAATAGAAAACTCATAAACAATTGTTTTCAAACAAATATTAATGTAACTTCCTTCGAAAACTCTTCAATAGAAAGCAAATTCCAAAACAAAAGTCATACCAAAAAGGTTCTAAGTCTCTTTTCTCAGACCGAACCATTCATTTTTGGTTTGGTTTGGTTTTGATTCCATTACTTAAATTTTTAACTGATAAATGCAAATTAAAATCTATTATCATATCCATAAGTTAGTAGTATATATTTAAATAAAAAAATAAACATCAAATATTCAACAAGTACAAGTTATCAATCATCATATGAAATGTCGTGTAATAAATTTATTGACAAAAGTCCAAACTAAAAGTTGATTTTTTTTTAAAATTTAATTTTATTATTATTTATAATTTTTTTTTGATTTGATTCATTGATTTGTAATAAAATATATACAATAAAAATTGAGTTCGGTTTTCTATTTTTGAAATAGAAAACTCATAAACAGTTGTTTTCAAACAAATATTAATGTAACTTCCTTCGAAAACTCTTCAATAGAAAGCAAATTCCAAAACAAAAGTTATACCAAAAAGGTTCTAAGTCTCTTTTCTCACTTATAATGCTCCATCTAGGCCATAAGTCACACGAAATTTCGTAATACAAATAGATTATAACATTGTATAAGAGTGGGGCTCATTGACATGATTTCTAATTTTGATTTTACTTCCCGTGGAAAATCTTTTTTAAGGAAACTACTCTTCTAGTCAAGCTAAACATTTCCGTAAAATATTTAAATAAATTCAAAACTTGATTCTTAATTTCAAAAATAACTTTTTAACTTTTCAAAAATATTGTCAAACGAGACTCTCAATATGTACCATTAAAAAGACATATTTAAGTATTGTCAAATTATTTTTGAGCTCTCTCTCTATATTAAAGTGAAAAACACATATTTAAGTACAGGGTATGTGAATTAGAGATTTTTTAAAAATTTTAAGCGAAGGATCTCAATAGAAGGTATAAACAGGCTATTCAATATAGACCTAAAGATAGATTTGAATTATCCGTGCTTGTTCTCTAGTGCATATTTTCTATGTGACAAAATTAGATTAGAAGATAATAATAAATAAAGATTTTAATTTTTAAAAAATATTATTCAATAATATTTAATCCACTCTATTTAAAAAATAAAGACTTGATTTCAAATGGCGCAATAAATTATATAAAGGAGATGCAAATGAACCTAAAGCAAAGCTCGGGAATTCAAGTTTGGAATCTCTTTGAATGACTTTTTTGTGATGCCCTAAGCTTTGTTCCAAAGGTGTTTGATTGAATAGGGAAAA